GGGTGGGGGGTAGGGATTTAATTACAGCGATGTCATGATGTGGCTGCTGCCATTAGACGCTGCGGGGCACTGTTGCCCATGGGCTGTGCGGTTCGTGGAGGCCCTGACACCCACCGTGGGTGTAGGATGCTAAAGCCGGGCTGTGGGGCTCGGGGGTTCGGTTTGTCACCGTGTCACTTCGAGGAGGACACCGCGCTGGTGGAGCAGAAAACCCCACGGTGGCGATGAGCGCAGAGCTTTGTACTTTACCATGGAGCGAGTGGTGTCTGTTGGCTTTTTTTTTGTCATGGAGATGGAAGAAGGCATCGAGGAGGCGTGGGTCTGAGGCTGTGTCTGGCCACAGTCGCCTCTTGCGCTCTTCAGTGAGGAGTGGGAGCTTCCAGCTCCGGGCCGGCATTTGTCCTGTGACCCACGGGTCGGTTCTGATCTGAAAACTCAGGGAAACGCAGAGACGACTCGTCCCTCTGCCCCGGGAAACGTCCGTGTCCTGCTGCCTGTCCCCAGCTGTGTGACCTTAGGTGTGCTGTCCTGGAAAGCGCGTTTTGGGGATAAACCTCAACCGTTTGACAAGCTGACGCCCTTCTCTGTGTTTCAGTGTTGACAACAGCGAGTACATGAGGAATGGAGACTTCTTACCCACTCGCCTGCAAGCCCAGCAAGATGCCGTCAACATTGTGTGCCACTCGAAAACCCGCAGTAACCCCGAGAACAACGTGGGGCTCATCACCTTAGCCAAGTACGCCCGGGGAGGGAGCTGCCCTCGGAGCCACTGCTCCTGGCAAGCAGGCGGTGACACCGAGGAGCGGCTGGGGGGACCCGGGAGGGAGCGCGGGGATGAGGAGCAGGGGAGTGTTGCAAAGTGGGGCAGCAATAGCGCCGTCTAAAAGCAAACCAGTTCTTCTGGGAGGACTGGTATGAGAACACCCGGTTCCTGACCGGTCTCTAGCTTGTTGGGCTCGCTCCTGCTATGCCAGGATACGTTACAGAGGCTTTTCTCTCTTGGGAGCTCCCTGCCAGACCCATCCTTTTGTGGCCTTGTGTCCCAAAGGGTGGCAGACAAGGGCTGAACTGTCACTGTAGCTCCTGGGCAGCCCCAGGGGAGTCGTTCCTCCGTTCTCCTGACGTTTGTAGGACTTGAGTGCCTCCGAGAGCTCCCTCTTAGCCAGAGTCAATTAAAATTGGCCAGTGGGCTCAAGGTTGCTGGGGCAGGGGACAGACGCACAGAAGCCTTCACGCAGACAGATTGCTTTGGGTTTTTTGGGAAACTAGGCTAAAAGTCTTGCTCCCTGTACGCACCGACCCACCAGAGCCAAGTGCTGGCAGAGTCTTGGAGCAGGCACCGGCTGCAGGCTGAGCACGGGGGGGCTTCTCTTACCCCTGTAGCAGATAAAGAGTTTCGCAAAGAACTCCTCAAAGAGGAGGTCGCCAGCGTACGTGTGCTTGTGTTGCAGTAACTGTGAAGTGTTGACCACGCTCACTCCAGACACGGGCCGGATCCTTTCAAAGCTACACACGGTGCAACCCAAAGGGAAAATTACCTTTTGCACAGGGATCAGAGTTGCTCACGTAAGTGGTTTTGTTGGTTCCTCACGAGCGAGTCTGCGCCTTTCTCTGTGATTCCTTCTGCCTTAGTGCATCCTGGTAAATTACCTGTCCTGTTGATGGCTTGGATACGGGAAATCTTGTTCTCTTCCTGCCTGTACGGCTGCGCCACGCTGAGCAAATAATTTTAGTTTTGCCTCAGTCTCCCTATCTGCAAAACACAGCTGAAACCTCCTTTATAAAATCCAACGTAAAAGCTCAGAAGTTTAATAGTCCGGTCCTGGTTTGCCTCAGAGGAACCTGGCAGCTGCTTTGCAGAAGCCCAGCCGAGCTGCGTGGCCCTTCCCACCTGAGGAGAGCAGCCCCCAGGCGAGGGGCGTCCCCCGGGACGTGGCCAGCCTTTTGTCCTGGTTTCTTGCTCGGTCCCAGACTCTCTCTGCCCACAAACTGCTCCCAGCTGAGTCACGGCCACCAGCAGAGGGGAGGCCCCTGAGACATGCCTGCTTGTAGGCAGTTCGGTGAAGCTTGCTACTGAAAAGTCTCTCCTGGCATTGCGCCTAAGTTTTCCTGTGTAACAGGAAAAGTATCGGGGTGACTGCTGGCCACCCCTTTTTCCTGGGAATTGCTCCTTAAGTACAATATGACTTCTGTCTTGAAGCTGGCTTTGAAACATCGCCAAGGCAAGAACCACAAGATGCGAATCATCGCCTTTGTTGGGAGCCCTGTAGAAGACAACGAGAAAGATGTGAGTAATGGCCAAAGGAAAAAATGTTGGGTCAGCTCCACGCTCTACTTTGAACCATAAATCGGGTTTATTGTTTGCTCCCTGCTCCATATCGAACGTAAGGCTGAGCTGCTTGAGCAGGGCGGTTCTCAGCTAGGAGGAGAGGGAGGGCCGGATCCCTGGGCACAGCGCGGCCTGAGCCACGGACGGAGATCAGATCTCCCACCATTTTGTGTAGGATTGCTTCCCTCCCCCGGTTCAGGGGGCTCCCAAGGGAGCTCGTGCCATGTCCCACGCCTCCTGGCTTGTGGCTGTCACCTAGACCGCTTCGGGCTTTTCGCCTGAGGAGCTGGGGGAGGAAATCTGTGTCCCTGAGCAGAAGTAACGCGCTCAGCCTTTGGGAGATGCCGTTCTGTTGGCACTTAGAATAACAGAAGCGAAGTTAATCCGGATGTCCTGGGTCTCTTTGAAGAACAGGTCAGAAACGTGAAGAGCTGCTGCCTGTCCCAGGCTCTCGCTGTCCCCGTCGATGGGGACGGTTACTCGCTTCGGCAGGGACAGCTCCCTCGCTTGTGCCACCTCGCAGCACCTCGGGCACTGTGCGGTAGCGCCTGTCCCTCCTGGAGAGGCGAAATGCCTCAGGCGTTTTCCTGCTGCGAGGGCTTGAAACTGGGAAGCTGATGTGGGGCTTTGTGCCTCCAGGGCTGAACCCTAAGCGCTGCTCTCTGGTTCCTGATGAGCTGAGCGTGGGTAAGAGCCGAAATCCAAGCTAATGCCGCGGTGTCTCCTTATTGCAGCTGGTGAAGCTGGCAAAGCGTCTTAAGAAAGAGAAAGTCAACGTTGACATCATCAATTTTGGAGAAGAGGTGAGACTTCTGCCGTGTTTCTGGCATAAGACCCAAGGCCGGATTTTGTATCCTTCCCAGAGCCCTCACTCGGGCGCGCGAGGATACAAACGGTCCTCTGAGCCTCGGTCTCTTCAGCAGCTGCCCCGGTGTAGGTGCTAACGTGGGGAGCGACACTTCCCTCTGGGAAGACGCCTCTCCCGTTTCGCTGCAGGCGGCGTGAAGTGCTTTCCGTCCTGATGGCGATAGCGGAGCTCTCGGCTCCCCACAGCGCGGGAGAGGCTGGGTGTGCGGAGCAGCCGGCCGGCCCTCCCGCAGAGCTGAGCAGCCAGGCGCAGCTCTGGTCCCAGCCTTTCTCTTTGGCCCTAGGAAGCCAACACGGACAAGCTGACTGCCTTCATTAACACGTTGAACGGCAAGGATGGCACCGGCTCCCACCTGGTGACGGTGCCGCCGGGGCCGAGCCTGGCCGATGCCCTCATCAGCTCCCCCATCCTGGCCGGGGAGGGAGGGGCCATGCTGGGCCTCGGCGCCAGCGACTTCGAGTTCGGCGTGGACCCCAGCGCGGACCCGGAGCTGGCTCTGGTGAGCGATGGGGCGGCTGCGGGCGCCGGGCTCCCCCGCCTGAGCTCTGCGCCGCTCAGCTCCCTGCCTGGCCCCGTCTCCGCAGGCTCTGCGCGTCTCCATGGAGGAGCAGAGGCAGCGGCAAGAGGAGGAGGCCAGGAGGGCTGCGGCCGCCTCTGCGGCTGAGGCTGGCATCGCGGCCACTGGCGGGGACGGTAAGGAGCTGGGCAGGGAGTAAAGCAGGCAGGGCCGGGCAGAACGTCCCCCAGGGAGGGTGTCCGGTCAGCGTGCGGGCTCCCGGCAGCGGTCACTGCTGCGAGGCTGCCTGACGCTGCGGGAGGCGTCTCTGTTCGTGGCGGGGCCCTTCTGCGCAGCCTGGCAGTTCCCAGAGCCGCTGGGCTGCGAGGCGAGAGGCGGTTTCGCTGCAGCCTGCTGGGGAGCTACCCCTGCTTCCGCTGAAACTCCCGCTTCTGTCCCGAGTGCCGCGGGGAGCGGCTCTGCTCCGCTCCCCTTCCCCAGCGCGGCCGTGCGTGCGAGAGGGGACGGGGCTCGCGTGCGCTGCTGGGCGGCCCCCTCGCTGCTCTCTGAGGGGGGTTTTGTCTGCGCAGATTCGGACGATGCTCTGCTGAAGATGACGATAACTCAGCAGGAGTTCGGCCGGGCCGGGCTGCCCGACCTCAGCAGCATGACGGAGGAGGAGCAGATCGCCTACGCCATGCAGATGTCGCTGCAGGGAGCGGGTGAGCGCCCGGGGCCGGTTCCCGGCCCGTTCCCAAAGGGAAAGCCGAGGCGCAGCCCCTCTGCCTCCGGGACTGGAGCCGCCGTGTCCCACAGCGGGGCAGGGTCCACGCTGGCGGGGTGGGTGCGAGGGTCGCTCCTGTGAGCCGCGGGGGGTGCGGGCGTGTAAACCCTCTGTCCTCAGCTGTCCCTCTGCTCCGGCAGAGTTCGCCCAGGCGGAGGCGGCAGAAGTGGACAGCAGCACGGCCATGGATACCTCCGAACCCGCTAAGGTGAGGTTTTGCCCTCCCGGGAGGGGATCCCGTCCCATCCCTCTCCCCCGGGGAGGAAGAGGGGGGACCCAGCCTGTCCCCAACTCCTCTCCCTCTGCCCGCAGGAGGAGGACGACTACGACGTGATGCAGGACCCCGAGTTCCTGCAGAGCGTGCTGGAGAACCTGCCGGGCGTGGACCCCAACAACGAGGCCATCCGCAACGCCATGGGCTCCCTGGCCTCGCAGGCCGCCAAGGAGAGCAAGGACAAGAAGGAGGAGGAGAAGAAGTGAGGGGGCCGGGGCCGGGGCTCGCTGCCGCGGGGGTGAGTG